AGTTGTCTTTAACATCTCCCTCTATCTCTTCCCCCACCTCCAGCCTCTGAGTGGCCACACCTGTCAGTGATAGACCCACACCACCTCCCAGCCCATCCCTCTTCCCCATTTCCAGGGACACTGCCTTGGCTGAGGTCCTTCCTCCCTCCCTCTCACTTCATTACTGCAATGCCCTGTAGGTCTGCATCTTCCTGCCATAGCACTGAACAGTTCACTCTTTCTCCAAACCAAAAAAAAAAAAAAAAAAAGTCAGTAGTTCAAGTTTTTTTAACCTGGCTTTCAATGCCTTCTAGAATCTTGTCTCAGCCAGCTTCTAGTCTCCTGTATCCCAGCTTCTATTCTCTAAACATAGTTCCTGCCTTCTAGGCACCTGTTCCCCGCCCCTGGATCTTCTGTACTCCTCATTCCATTTCACCTTCCAAATACTGCCTTTTCTCTTAGTTTTCTACCCACTTGAGGCTGGAATAACTCCCTCTTTTCTCTGTATCCTGGTAACATTTTTCGTTTTGGACATCAGTTATAACATGTATACCTTTATCATACTGAAGTGAAATAGGTTAACTTTCCCTCCAGACTGGAAGCTTCTTCAAATTCCATCCAACAAAAAAATTATGTAGCTTGCATTTTTTTACTATTTTTTTTTTAAAGATTTTATTTATTTATTTGACACAGAGTGAGAGAGAGAGAGAGAGAGCACGAGCAGAGGGAGTGGCAGAGGGAGCCGGAGAAGCAGGCTCTCCGCTGAGCAGGGAGCTCCACATGGGGCTTCTTCCCAGGGCTCTGAAATCATGACCTGAGCGGAAGGCAGACACCCAACCGACTGAGGCCCCCAGGTGCCCCAGCTTGCATTTTTTTTTAAATGAAGCATTGTAGGGGCACCTGGGGGCTCAGTCGTTAGGCCCCTGCCTTCCGCTAGGGTCCTGATCCTGGGATTCTGGGATCAAGCCCCGCATTGGGCTCTCTGCTCGGCGGGAAGCCTGCTTCTCCCTCTCCCACTCCCCCTGCTTGTGTTCCCTCTCTCGCTGTGTGTCTCTCTCTGTCAAATAAATAAATAAAACTATTTAAACATAAAATAAAATAAAATAAAATAAAACGAGGCATTGTAACAACAACTAGACTCAAAAAAAAGTAATTCCTGCCCTGGAATTGGATCTCTCTAGTGGAAAAAGATGATAGAGAAACAGAGTTGCCGCTCTATGTGGCAGGAAGCGGGCTTGTCTTACCGACGTTCATTTCCTCGAGTCCAGGATGGGGCACATGTGAGGTGAAGGGCGTTCTAGAGCTGGAAAAGCCTAAAAGATCATGCAATCTAAACTTTAAGTGTCCTAGCATAGAGGACCACCCAGACCACAGAAATCGGGGGCCTGCCCAAGGTCACCAGGCCAGTGAATGGCAGTGCTGAACCAGGCCCTATCCAGGGCACACCCCGTTACAGCCCCTCCTCCTTTGTAGCCTCGGAGAGGCGTGCTATGAGGTGTTGCTGCCATTAGTCAGAGTTATGAACCACAGGGAATATTCCAATAAGCAATACAGGATAATCTAATGGATGTGTCTGGGCTGAGTGGCCAAAAACAACAGGGAAG